TAGCCAAGACTCTAGGGCTTGGTCCTAGCCTGCTTTTGCAAAATTGTAAGATTTGGGGGCCTGTATTATCTACTCCCAGTTCTAACCAGATTGGTATCTTCCTTATTCTTCTAAAAATAATCCCTTAATAAAAATACCTGACATTTGTGTAAATACTTTTTATTGTACTGTGTACTTCCCCATAATTATTAGTATTTTATTCTCACAACACCCTGTGAATCTTCCTCAATTTATGTGAAGGGATTGAAGCTTGGAGATGAAGCTGGAATTTGGTGGTGCTGTGAATACAAGCTGGATCTTATAACTTCAGATTAAGTCTTTGAATTTTTCCTCCATGGAAGCCATGGACAGTCTCACCTCCAAATCTTTTTACAAATTGTTTCTTCCAAAAAAAGAAAAAAACAAAACAAAAACAAATCGTTTCTTCCACTCACGATACCCGTTCTCTTCCAATCTGAACTAATACTCTCCATTCAAGCCCAGCACCAGTCTCACTTTTTCTGTGGTTTCTGTCCTCATAAGACCACTCAGTTGTACAGTGATCACTTCTTTCTCAGGGCTACTTTCTTGGAACTTCTAGATCACTTATGGTCTGTACTACTCAGCATGTTCACTTTTTCATTTAGCAGACTTTGTGTAATTGTCACGTGCCAGGCCCTGTACTAGATATAAATAAACAAAATGGGACAAAATGTTTACATTTAGCTCTCAACTTCTTATTTAAAAATTTTTTAATTTATAGAAAAGTTATAAGAAATATTAAAATGAGCAGATTTGCATGTACTCTTTATCTAGATTCACTATATTGTTAACATTTTGTCTTATTTACATCCTCCCTTTCTCAAAATGCATGCGTGCATGCACACACATACACACACCCACAATTTTTTTGATGAGCCATTTGGGAATTACTTGCAAACATGGAATATATATTTTTAAAAATAAAGCCTACTCAATCCACTGACTTAAAGGTTTATTTCCAAACCTGGTCTCTGTCCCATTTTCTTAAAGAGCTTATAGTCTAATGAAGGATACAGATATATAAACAAATAAATAATACATTAGGACAGATACTGTAGGTACTATATAGGAGATACAGTACAAAGTTCTGTGGGACAGAGGTGGGAATGTCTTGTCTTTACCTCGACAAAGCAAGGAAGGAGTCACAGAATATTTAGATTTTAAGGGATAACTAGGAGCTGTTAGGTAGACTATGTAGTTTAGGGTTTTTTTTTTAACGTATGTGTTCTGTATCCCTTATCTTTATGTTCCACAAAGCCTGATAGAGTGTTTTGCATATTTTACATGCCCAACAAACATCTGATTGTACATATACCTGAAGAGAAAGAGATTAATACTTAATGTAGAAGTGGTTGTACATAGTTATATGTCCTTATATAGTCAGTTTACAAATACAGTAAAACCTTGGTTTGCAAGTATAATTTGTCCCAGAAACATGCTTGTAATCCAAAGCACTTGTATATCAAAGCAAATTTCCCTATAAGAAATAATGAAAACTCAGATAATTCATTCCACAACCCAAAAATATTTACATAAAAATGATTACAATACTGTAATATAATACAAAATAATAAAGAAAATGCAAAATATAAAGAAAAATAAATAAATTAGGGGCGCCTGGGTGGCTCAGTCAGTTAAGCGTCCGGTTTCGACTCAGGTCACAATCTCGTTGTTTGTGAATTTAGCCCCGCATCAGGTTCCACACTGACATTGCAAAGCCTGCTTGGGATTCTTTCTCTCTCTCTCTCTCCCGCTCTCTCTCTCTCTCTGCCCCTCCCCAACTTGCACGTGTGTGCTTACTCTCGCTCTCTCATAAATAAATAAATAAATAAATAAACAAACAAACAAACTAAAAGAAAAAGAAACAAATTAACCTGTACTTATCTTTGAAAACCTTTGTGGCTGGTGTGAGGAAGATGAGAGAGGAGGGTTATTATGTAGGACGACTTCCACTATCACTAACAGAATCACTGCTATCTCTTGGCTCAATGGAATCTTTTTCTTTTTGTGCAACTTCCAACAAGTAACCTATCCAATGACACTTGCTTTTGTCTCCTTTTGAGGATTTCACAGAAATGTGACATTGCATTGATGATCATCTACAATCCCAGAGTGAGCGAGAGAGAGAGGGAGAAAGAAAAGAACCATTGGCTCAGTTGTGATCATGTGACATTTGGCATCATGTACTCCTCATATTGCAAGACATCACTCGTTTATCAAGATAAAATTTGTTAGGGATGTTTGTTCATTTTTGCGGAACACTCGCAGAACAAGTTACTCAGAATCCAAGGCTTTACTGTATGTAGATCCATGTCCTCAAAAAGAGTATGTAAGAAGAGGGTGTCATTTGATGTGGTTAAAGCTCCAGTGTATGAATAAACATGTCTAAATAATGCTAACTACAGCAATGAAACAGAAAATGGCCAGTTTGGAGGAATACAAAGTACAAATACCTCCCCTCATTCCTACCTGCCCATACTTTCTATTAATTGTATTCTGGCTTGGAAGTTGGAATTTGAGGACAGAAATGGCAGACAGTGGCCATTGCAGGAGGCCAAAAGTGGAATCAGGAATTCTCCACTGGGTCCATGATTCCCAGGTTTGCTGTTTAAGTTAAAGAAAATGTAGACAGCAGTAGCAAGGCTTTTTGATGGCCAAGAAAGTTGAAAGAATGTGATAGAAACCTGTGAGGATGCGGTGACATGTAGAAGATAGTTCATATGCTTTCTGTAACAGGGTATATTAAAAGAATGGTCTCTTTCATTAGGGTCAAAGTAATGATAGAGATTTTCTTATAGGGGTTGCAGTCAGTTTCATTATTTTATGATAAATGCTTCATACTTTAAAAGGTGAGGAGATTTGGTGCGCCTGGGTGGTTCAGTCAGTTAAACGTCTGACTCAATTTCAGTTCAGGTCATGATTTCACGATCATGAGATTGAGCTTCTCATCGGGTTCTGTGCTGAGCGTGGAGCCTGCTTAGGATTCTCTCTCTCCCTCTCTTTCTATCTCTCTCCCCTCCCCTGCCCTCAAAATAAATAAATAGATAGATAGATAGAAGTAAATTAAAATAAGAGGTGATGAGATCATATACTGCCTGACTACACACATATATATATATATATATGTGCATGTGTGTGTATATATATGTGTGTGTGTGTGTATACACATATATATGTATATATGCATGTATATGTATGTATGTATATGATTTCTTCCCTTGATGTGTAAGAGGCGGGCACCATTTATAGACAGCAATTAGTTAACAAAGGGAGCTCTCCCAAGGATGCACTTTTTTTTTTTAATTTTTTTTTAACGTTTATTTATTTTTGAGACAGAGAGAGATAGAGCATGAACAGGGGAGGGTCAGAGAGAGAGGGAGACACAGAATCTGAAACGGGCTCCAGGCTCTGAGCTGTCAGCACAGAGCCCGACGCGGGGCTCGAACTCACGGACCGCGAGATCGTGACCTGAGCCGAAGTCGGCCGCTCAACCGACTGAGCCACCCAGGCGCCCCTGGGGATGCACTTTTTATTCTTTCTCAATAAAAGCCTGCATAAAGAGTTGGAGCATAACCGACTTAACAGGTACTTAATCCTTATCATGCCTATTGCTCATAGTCCCACTTCAGTGTTTTGAAGGAATAACAGAGTGATGTGTCTCCTAAGTAGATTTATTTTCAGAGGTGTCCTGAAGCCACCTCTGAGCTAGCATATCCTGGAGTAACCTGGTTGTATTTCTTTTGGACTGTGAAACAGAAAGCTTAAATAAATGGAGAAGCTATATATTTGTGGGTCCATTTCTGGGTTCTCTAATCTATTCCATTGATCTGTGTGTCTGTTTTTGTGCCAGTACCATACTGCCTTGATTATTACAGCTTTGTAATACAGCTTGAATTCCGGAATTGTGATGCCTGTAGCTTTGGTTTTCATTTTCAACATGACTTTGGCTATTCAGGATATCTCTGGTTCCATACACATTTTAGGATTGTTTGTTCTAGCTCTGAAGAATGCTGGTGGTATTTTGACAGGGATTGTATTAAATCTATAGATGGCTTTGACTTTGAGTGGATATAGACATTTTAACAACATTTGTTCTTCCAATCCATGAGCATGGAATGTTTTTCCATTTTTTGTGTGTCATCTTCAATGTCTTTCATAAGCTTTCTATAGTTTTCATTGTACAGATCTTTTACCTCTTTGGTTAGGTATGTTAACTAACTTGAATTTAAATTAAAAAAATAAAAATGGGAAAAGAAATGGAGAAGCCATTTGATGCTATGTTTTCCAAAACATTGCCTACCCATGCCACTGTTGATGGGCTCTTCTAGTGTCATGTAGTATAACTAGTATGGTATAGTATTACTCTACTATATTATAATGTAATACAATTATTATTACTATATTATGTTATACCAACCAGTACAGTATATAGTTGGTGACCAGAATTTTGGAATGTTATGATTGGAAAGCTAACTAATTTAGAAACTGCCAAGCCCAGGGGCACCTGGGTGGCTCAGTCAGTTAAGCATCTGACCCTTGATGTCAGCTCAGGCTGTGATCTCACAGTTTGTGGGTTCAAGCCCCACATTGGGCTCCATGCTAACAGCATGGAGCCTGCTTGCAATTCTGTCTCCCTCTCTCTCTCTCTGTCCCTCCCCTGCTCACTATCTCTCTCCCAAAATAAATAAATAAACATTAAAAAAAGAAACTTGCCAAGCCCCAGTAAGAGAAAGAGTGATGACTTGAGATCTAAGAATACTGTGGCTTTTTTTCCCCATGGAAAAGAGGTTGAGTTGCACTAACAGTTCCCCTTTATACTTACTCTGAATAAAGTTCATTTATTCTGTAGAGAAAATGTACAGATAAATATTTCTGTGAACTCCTGAAGGTAAGTCTGGGCTACTTTAGACAAAATAAAAAGTTACGCCATTGGCTTTTCCAGGCCCTAGGAACTATTCTAGAATACCCTTATAGCTTTAGGAGTTCAGAGCTGACTTGCCTCTTTTCTCGGGGTGGAATGTCCTCTAATAGGATGGTTGGCTTGGTTTTACATAAGCCTGTTGGAGCTTGGATTCTTTTTTTGACTTGAGGGAGGCAGCAACTGCAGCTTTTGATTCCACTTTTAGCTGCAGTTTAGCTCTTCTGTGTACCTATAAAGTAAATGCCATGTAAATAGGAGCCCAGGATAGGGTTACTCATTCTCAAAAGGTCATGTACCAACTGCAGTTGCTGAGTAAGTGTTCCTGCATCTAGGGATGTTTATAACAGTCTTGTTTCCATTTATTTCTGCAGAGTGTAGTGAAGCTGATGAGGGGACTGCTCCACTGCATGATCCGACAGGTATGGCATTGGTACCAGCTCCCTCTTGAATAAAAGCGCATTGTAATAGTGTCTCTACCCTTTAGGGAATGTTTACAGCTTATGTTTTTTCAACTTCACCAACAGCGGACACTTAAGTTTAGAAAATTTGTAGAATCAAGGAAGGAACTATCACCCATGATCTCACCACCCAGTTACCACTAGCATGTTTCCTTTCAGTCTTTTTTCGCCCCCTCTACAAATGGCTCTTTAATATACTTCATCACTACTGTACATGCAATTCTGGACATTGAGTAAAGAGGACACAGGCTCTAAGCCCTCATTTGAAACCCTTGGGACCAAATAAATTTTAGAATTCAAACTTTTTCAGATTTTTAAGTCCAGTGCATGTGCTATATATTATGTTATGCTCTCAGCAGGGCCAGAATAGCACTGGATTATCAAAAACAGTAATCTCTCTGTAGGGGAGAATGCATTTCCATACTGAGTGGAACAAATTAAAACTACAAATAGCCCCATGTCAATCTGAGTCAGGTTTTGCCACTAAATGAATTTTGGTACAAAATTTAGAGGAAAAACCTTTTGTCAGCGTTGTAGATTTTAGGATTGGAGATAAGTGTCTAGGATTTATATCTCCTTGCATTAATTAGCATTTTCTTGACCTTGAATGAAGTTGAGCGTCTTTTCTGGTATAAATTGAAAATTTTCATTTCCTCTCTTAATTACCTGTTAGATCCTTTGCCTATTTTTCTTTTGGGCTGTCTCTTTCTTGACTACTTGAGTTCCTGTATATCATGGATATTAATGTTTTGTCACATATACTGCAAATATTTTTTAGCAGTCTGTGGTTTATCTTTTGCATTTATGATTTTTTTTCATTTGAAAGTATTTTACCAAAAAAAAAAGTGTTTTACATTTATCCTAGGAGATCTTTACACACCTTGCACACATTGAATTTAAACTGATTTTCTTGAGTCTAAGATTACATTTTATTAGAAGAAGCAAGCAAAGCCCAGATTAATGAAGTGACTATCCACAGGCACACAAGTCTAAAGTAGAAATAAAAAGAAATCAATTCCACACTTCTGAACTTCTTTATTCGTGCTTTCTCTCCTGGGGTCTCATAGTCATCATTTCTCTTTTCCCCTTCTTTGCTACTTTTTTTGTATTTTAGGTATTTGTATGTTCTACCTTACCAAATAGGTTTAAATTCACTAACTTCATGAACCATATTTAAAAGTATAATAGTTACTGTCATATATCAGATGCCCATATAATCAAATCTAAGTTTCAGGAACTAAGTCTTTCAGTTGTCCCTTGCACAGTGTTTCCTTTCTCACTTCTGGTTTCAGCTTTCTTTCATATGTTTTCTCTGTCACTCCATGTATCTCTCTGCCACTCTCTTCATTACTCCTTCAACATATATCCCTTTGTCTGAATTTCCCTCAAAATTCCTACCTCTGTTTTAGGAACTAATGCATCTTTTTATAATTTAATTATCTCTCATTAGGCTGTTTTCACTCAACCACTGGCATCTGAGTTTATGTCTACAATGTGGCAAAACAGCCATCTGAAAAGTAAAAGAGAGGTAATGAGCAGGAAATAGCTGGTTTTAACTGGTATTATTTTATAATTTAATTGCGTAAATTTAAAAAAAAATGGCAACAGCAGACTTTCCTAGTTATGTCACTGTCAGGAAAAAGAGGTAACAGCATATTTTAAATATTCACAGTTGCCTGAAAACCAAATGCACTGGTAAATGTGAGAGTATGACAGAAGTATGGCATATGGGACGACTTTTCTGCATAGCCTTCTTTCACTGTTCTTGTTTTCTTCAGGTGGATAAAGTAGAATCCTTCAAATACAGTCAGAGTACCAGGGATAGCCTCCATGCCAAATACAATACGAAAACCTGTGCCACCGTAGTGGGTGATGACCAGTGGGGACACCTGCAATTGGATGCTACCTCTGTGTACCTGCTCTTCTTAGCACAAATGACTGCCTCAGGTCAGTACCAGGACAGAATTACCGGGAGCCGCTTGAGGTGGAGCACTGGCTCTGGCGCACGTGGCTTCTCCAAAGGTGTTTACCAGAAAACAACATAGCTGTTCACATTGCTCAAAGGTACACAGTGGAAAAATAAAATTTTGCAGATTTTATACAGAGAAACAAGTCTTTGAGATCTAGTTAGTATTCTTTTCCATTGAAAAACAATTCTGGGGAATTTTCTTAATTGAGAACCAGGAAATTTGGGCTAGATTTTTATTTTTATCCTCAGATGCCGTGAGATGGGAAAAAAGAGCTAGAGTTTATTGCTTTTTCTCATGCTATTCACTGACTAGCCTATAGTTAACATTAAATAAATTGAATCACCTACTTTATACTACTGTGTATGTATATATGATAAACAAGGCATCTATCTAAAGGCATCTAAATTATATTAAGGGAATTAACTTAGGAATCAGAATTCCAGTATTTATTTTTATTATTGAGTAATATACCCTTTTCAGATGGTTTTGTTATTAGCTTTAGATGCTTCACCTGAAAAAGGAAAATGTAAGAACCAACATAATTCCCTTTTATTTCTCCTAACTTGGTGAGGACAATGAATCTGATTATACTCTGTTTGTAAATTAAACAGGACCTTTCCCAGATCTTCCTGAGTAAGTAAATATACTCAGAATACAACATTTTGATATTCCAATTTCTTTATCTTCCTATCTAGGTATAGAACTCCTAAGTACGAAGGGCATTCAGGGTGAGAATTATCCCAGAATATACTTATTCTACTTTTCTTGCATAAATAAATATGTGGTGATGAAGCCTTCCTTTTCCCCCTCTAGAATGCACAGCCCAGAAGCTGAATTACCTTTTATCAGAATTATAACATGGCTACCCACATACTCCCATCTTTTGGAGAGGAGGTTCCTCCCTGAATAAATATACTTTTAGGTATTATTCATTTAAATAGAATGGCAGCTGTAACTTCATTTCTAATAGTCTTTTAATACCAACTCTAGAATATTTTTCTACAAAGCAAACTGTCTCAGTATTTCTTATGGTTTTCTTTTTTTAATATTTTTAATGTTTATTATTTTTGAGAAAGAGAGAGACAAAGAGAAAGCAGGGGAGGGGCAGAGAGAGAGGAAGACACAGAATCAGAAGCAGGCTCCAGGCTCTGAGCTGTCAGCACAAAACCTGACATGGGACTCGAACTCACAAACTGCGAGATCATTACCTGAGCTGGAGTCAGCCACTCAACCTACTGAGCCACTCAGGCGCCCCATTTCTTATGTTTTTCAATTTGAGTCTAGAAAGGAAGGAGAAATATACTAAAGAGGCTTATAAGACATACTCATTTAACAAATATTTGTTAATTTCTGATTTAACATGTGATTTTCAACTCAATAAACTGACTTTGATAGGTGCTTGGAAAAGATGGATATTATCTGATCAGGCCTTTGCAGAACAAACAGGAGTAAGTAGAAATTTACAAGACAGAGAAGGAAAGGGAATAGCATGGCTACAACACAAAAGTTTGAAAGATAGCCGACCACCATGGTAAGACTAGTTATCTTCTATGGTTAGAATGTAAGATAGATCTGGAAAATTGCCAAAAGATGAGGCTAGAAAGTTGGAGCTAGCTGTTTAAGGGCGTGTGTACCATGCCAAGTAGTTGGGAGTTTAGTCTATAGTCATTACAGAACCACTCAAGGTAAATAATCAAGAAAGTTTCAGATGATTCACTCCAGTAGCAGAAGGATAGATTGAATGGGGGAGAAAATTAAGATGGATGACTAGTTAGGAGGTTAGTGAAGTACTTGAGGCAAGAAGTGATGCAGAATATATGCAAGGCAATAGCCTTGAGGGTGAAAAGTATAGATGTGAGAGATAATCAATAGATAACGTATGAAAGCTCTTCATGGAAAATTTCCACCTTTCATGAAAGCAATTCTCTGCACATTTTTGAGTATATGAAAATCTCCACCTTGGTTAAAAGAGAGGCTTAGGCAGAAGCTGACACCTTTCTCCCCAGCAAAATAACTGTAAACTGTGAAGATAAATTTGAAAAAAAAGCCCAATCATTTATCACTGGAAATTGTCCTAAGGGCGTACAGCAAAGTGGAGAAACATTTATTCAAGGAAATCTAAATCTTGGTAAGAGCAGTGAGACTGTGGCATTTAGACCACAACCTACTCCCTCCCTCGCCCCGAGCTCACCATGACAGCAAGACTATTCAGCTTGGATGTGGCCAAGAATATAAGCCTTCCTCTTCCCCTAGCTCCCAGTTTAAGGCGATATCTCCCCAAGAGAGGTTGCCAGCATTTCTCAAACTCCTCACCTCTGTGTTACAGAAGTTCTGGTCTAGCCAAGAATAACTAAGAGGTCTGAAACTCTGTTCCTATTCCAGTCCCACTTATGGAGCGAAAGCTTAAACTCAGGCAGAGCAGTCCAAGAATAATAGGCCTGGCCCACCTTGCTAGTAGCATGGAGGCAAAGGCAGGCCACAAGGACAGAAACCTCCGTAGTCCTTCCCAAGAAAACTGACTTTATTTGGAACTGACTGTGGGAAAGTTCAAGTCTAAGGGCACTCTCAAAAACAGTGGAGATTTTTGTTCTAAGAAATAAAGAGGATGCTGATAGCTCAATAAGACCAACAAACTAGCCTATAGACTAGAAGTTTTAGCAGAGAACCAGAGAGAAACAGCTGGAAAGAGTTATCCTAGGGTTAAAACAAATGTCAAAGGCTGGCCTCAAAATCATGAAATGGGGCTTGAATATAATTGGCTGAGACTGTGAAGCAATTTATACCTCAAGGAATTATACGGTATAATAGAGCAGTTGGTGGAGGTTAACAGCTGGGTATGGAACCAACAGAGGCAGACACTTAATAGATCACAGAAGGCTAAAACAAAAACTGTGGTCTTCCTCAGATGACAATGTGTATGCCCTAGGCTACATCCTCTGAGGAACAGCATCAGAGGCTGCATCTTGTGGGAAATATAGATTTCATTGACATTGTCCAGCCAAGTCACTAAACAAATAAAAAGGAAACATAAAGAAGCCCCATGCAAGAGGGCATCAATTAATCTATAGAGTTTCTATAACACATTATCTACAATATCCAGTTTTCCACAAAAAAATTATGACATATGGAAAGAAACAGGAAAGCCTAGTCAACACAGGAAAGAAAAGGTAACAGAAACTGCCTTTGAGAGGAAGCATATGCTGAATTTAGTAGACAAAGACTTCAAAGCAGTTACTATAAAAATGTCAAAAAATCTAAAGGACACCAGGCTTAAAGAGGTAAAGAAAAATATGATGAAAGTATTTCAACAAATAGAGAATATCAATATGGAGATAAAAATGAACCAAATGGAAATTTTAGAGTTGAAAAGTATAGTAACTTAAATGAAAATTTCACTTGAGAGGCTCAACATATTTGAGCTGGCAAGAGAAAGAATCACCATACTTGAAGATAGATTAACAGAGATTATGCAATCTGAATAATAGAAGAAGTAATAAAGAAAATGAATAGTACCCAAGAGCAATGTAGGACATAATTTAGAACACCAACTCGTGTAATGAGTATATTAGAAGGAGAGTAAGGGACAGAAAATATATTCAAAGACATAAAATAATGGCTGACTACATCGCAAATTCAATGAAAAACATTGATATGTATACATCAAAGAAGCTCAATGATAGGATAAACAGAAATCCACACCAAGAAACATCATAGTAAAAATTTTAAAAAACCAAATTTTTAATAGAACATCTTGAGAGCAATCTGAGAAAAATGACTTGTCATATACAAAGGAACCCAAATAAGGTTATGAGCTGACTTTTCTTCAGTAAAAAAAAAAAAAAAAAAAAAAAAAAAATGGAGGCCCGGAGGAAGTGGAATGATGTAATCAAAGGACTGTCAACCAACAACCCTATATCCAGCAAAACTATCTTTCAGAAATGAAGTGAAATAAAGATATTCTTGGATAAACAAAAACTGAGATTTTGTTGCTGGTAGACTTACCTTACAAGAAATACAAAAAGGAGTTTTTCATGTTGGAATCAGGTGACCCCAGACAGTAATTGGAATCCACACAAAAAACCAAACCAGTTGTGAAAGACAAATACCATATAATTTCACTCATATGTGGAACTTAAGAAACAATTTAATGAGGAAACAAGAGACAAAAAAAGCAGACTTTCTTTAAAAAGATTTTTTAAATTTTCTTTAAAAATTTTATTTTATTTTATTTATTAGAGAAAGAGAGGGAAGAGCAGAGAGGAGAGAGAATTTCAAGCAGGTCTATACTGTCAGTGTAGAGCCCAATGTGGGGCATAATCTAATGAACCATGAGATCATGACCTGAACCAAACTCAAGAGTCAAACATTGAACCAACTGAGTCACCCAAGCACCCCTAAACTGACTCTTAAATACAGAGAACAAACTGGTGGTTTCCAGAGGGGAGGTTGGTTGTGTGTATGGTGGCGGGGCGGGGTGGGGGGGGGCAGGATGAACGAACTAGGTAAAGGGGATTAAGAGTACACTTAACTTGGAGCACCTCGCTGGCTCAGTAAGTACAGCATGTGACTCTTAATGTCAGGGTCATGAGTTGAAGCCCCATGTTGGGACTAGAACTTACTTAAAAAAAATAAGTACAAAATTAGGGGCACCTGGGTGGGTCAGTTGGTTGAGTGTCTACCTCTTGATCTTAGCTCAGGTCTTAATCTCAGGATCATGAGTTCAAGCTCTGCATTGGGCTCTGTGCTGGGCATGCAGCCTACTAAATTCATACATACATACATACATACATAACTTGATGAGCACTGAGAAATGTATAGGCTTGTTGAATCATGATATTGTATACCTGAAACTAATATAATACTGTATGTTAATATACTTGAATTTTTTCATGGAAAAAATAAAAATAAATCGAGAAAAACCACTGGTAAAATAATTATAAAATACAATAAAATTACATGTTTATTCTTTCTTAATTGATCTAAAAATCAATTGCATAAAACACTATAATTGTATTGTTGAGCCAATAGCATATAAAAGTGTAGTATATTTGATAATAACAGAATTAAGGAGGTGGGTGGGAGCAAAGCAATATTAAGGAAATAATACCAAATGGTAACTCAAATCCACAGGAACAAATGAAGACCACCAGAAATAGTAAATTACAAGATTAATATTACAAAATATAAATATATAATTTCCTCTCAGTTTCCTTAAAAGATATATACTTATACGGAGAGAGTAAAGAAAATGGGAGCTGAGTAGGAGGAAACTAGGCTTGTCTTTTCCCACAAACACAACTAGATAACTATCATATCATTCTAAATAGCCCAAAAATCGACCTGAAGACTGACAGAAAAAAAAAATCTACAACTAAAGGGAAGGAAGAAGCCACATTGAAGAAGGTAGGAAGTACAGGGACGTACTTTAGGGGAAAAATGTATCATGGGTACTGTGGAGGGGAAAGACCTGTGGTTGCAGAGAAAGGAGAGAGAGAGAGAGAGAGAGAGAGAGAGAGAGAGAGAGAGAGAGAGAGAAGGGCAGATAAGAATGCACAAGGAGAACATTTCCCCAAAACCATCGGCTGGAAAAATAAGAAAGGCTGAATTTCCTGAGTTCTTGCAACCAGGGGGGCTTAAGGACTGGAGTTTTAAAGATCAGTGGGTTTGGCTGGGATGGAGCCCTGAGGGTGCTGCCCTACTCCTGGAGAGAGGCAGGAAAACAACAGGTGGGGGGAGGGCAGGTGGTGTAGAAACAGTGATCTAAGGGGCACTTGGGGCACTTATTATTAAGGTGGCAACATTCCCCAAATTGATCTATAGATTGAACATAATTCCTACCAAAAATCCCACTGTCTTTGCAGAAATTGACAAGCTTATCTTACAATGCATATGGAAATTCAAGGGACCCAGAATGGCCAAAACCATTTTGAGAAAGAAGAACAAAGTTGGAGGTTTTGCACTTTCTAATTTCAAAACTTACTACAAAGCTCCAGTAATCAAAACTGTGTGGTACTGGCTTAAGGATAGATCTCTAGGGTAACAAAATACAATTGAGTCCAAAATATACCATCATATTATGGTCAGGTGATTTTTGACAAAGGTACCAAGATGATTCAATGGGTAAAGAATGGTCTTCCCAACAAATAGTGCTGGGAAAACTAGATATCCAGATGCAAAAGAATGAAATTAGATAAAACTTAACTCAAAATGAATCATAGACCTAACTGTAAGAGTGAAAACTATAAAACACTATTAGTCTGCTAGGGCTGCCATAGCAGAATGTCACAGAATAGTTGACTTAAGCAACAGAAATTTATTTTCTCACAGTTCTGGATGCTAGAAGCGCAAAATCAGGGTGTCAGCAGGGCAGTGAACACTCTCTTGGCTTGAATGCAGCCACCTTCTCTGCTCTTTCTTCACATGAGCTTTTCTCTGTGTGTGTGCACTCCTGATGTCTCTTATAAGGACGCCAGTCCCCATTCTGTTAGGACCCCACCCTGTGACCTCATTTAAACCTAATTGTTTCCTTAAAAGTCTTAACCCCAAAAACAGTCACATTGGGGTTTAGGGCTTCAACATAGGAGTTTCAGGGTGACACAACTGGGTTCATAACAAGCACTTAAGGAAAGTATGGGAGTAAGTCTTCCTGATCTTGGATTAGACAAAGCCCTCTTAGATGTGACACCAAAAGCATAAGCAACTAAAGAAAACATAAATTGGAAGTTATCAAATTAGTAACATTTGTGCTTCAAAGGATCTCTTCAAGAAAGTGAAAAAACAACCCATGGGACACCTGGGTGGCTCAGTTGGTTAAGCATCCCACTTCAGCTCAGGTCATGATCTCACAGTCTGTGAGTTCAAGCCCCATGTCGGGCTCTGTACTGACAGCTCAGAGCTTGGAGCCTGTTTTGGATTCTGTGTCTCCCTCTCTCTTTGCCCCTCCCCCACTCATGCTCTGTCTCTCTTGCTCTCAAAAATAAATAAAACAAAAAATTTAAAACCACAATATGATAGAGAATATTTACAAATCACATATCTGATAAGGGACTCGTATTATATATAAAGAAATCTACAACTCAGTAATAAAAAGATAACCTAATTTAAACTAGGCAAAAAATATGAATCGACATTACTCCAAAGAAAATATTTAAATGGCTAATAAGTACACAAAACAATGCTGAATATTATTCCTAGGCACTTGCAGATCCAAGTAATGAGATAGCATGTCACACCCACTATGATGGCTGTAATCAAAAGTACAGAAAATAACAAGTGTTCCTGAGGAACTAGAGAAATTGGAACCCTCATACATTGTCAGTGGGAATGTAAAATGATGCAGCCACTTTGGAAAACAGTCTGACAGTTCTCAAAAGTTAAGCAGAATTACCATATGATCTAGCAATTTCACTCCTAGGTGTATGCCCAAAAGAAATGAAGACATGTGGGGCGCCTGGGTGGCTCAGTCAGTTAAGCGTCCAACTTCAGCTCAGGTCAGGATCTCATGGTTTGTGGGTTCGAGCCCCGTGTTGGGCTTTGTGCTGACAACTCGAAGCCTCAAGCCTGCTTCGGATTCTGTGTCTCCCTCTCTCTGCTCCTCCCCTGCTCCCCCTCTCTCTCTCAAATAAACATTTAAAAAAAAATTTTAAAAACTGGAAACATGGGGCGCCTGGGTGGCGCAGTGGGTTGAGCGTCCGACTTCAGCCAGGTCACGATCTCACGGTCCGTGAGTTCAAGCCCCGCGTCAGGCTCTGGGCTGATGGCTCAGAGCCTGGAGCCTGTTTCCGATTCTGTGTCTCCCTCTCTCTGCCCCTCCCCCGTTCATGCTCTGTCTCTCTCTGTCCCCAAAATAAATAAAAGTTGAAAAAAAAATTTTAAAACTGGAAACAACCTAAATGTCCAT